GAATATGATTCCAAAATGTGTCTGATGGCCCATTCTGTTCTTCCTCTGCACACCGTCTCTCTTTTCCAAACATGTCTGTTCTAAATGTTAATGTTGATTCTTTCTGAAATGCAAAGACATTGTGTCTGTGTCACAACTTCTGCCCAAGGGGTCTTTAGCCAAGCTTGCTGGGGAGCCAATTGTTTTTAGACTTGTTTTATTTATTGAGAAGTTTTGGTGGTTACTGAACTACTAACTACTACTAAGATTAGTTCCACCACTTTCTCTGTCCTGTTATATTTGCTCATTGTTTAATACTAATACTAACATTTTAACAAAATATTTGTTAAATACTATGAGGTCAGTCTGGCAACCCTGCCCTATTATTTTTGGACTTGTTGCTTCAATGAATGCATCACATGAGGAAATAATGAATTGTCTTAGAATATTTGAATTCAGTAATAATCTCAAGAAGGAGGTTGGCATTCAAATGTAATGTTAACCACTTGGATTGATTTTACATACTACATAAAGGAAAATTAATCTGCTTTGAATTCAGTTTTTTTTTTAAAAATATATATTTTGGTGCTTACATTTTTTTTACTTTGCTGCTGAAAACCAAATATTTTTGCATTTTTGCCCACTTAAGTATTTGAAGATGAGGCATCAGGAAAAAAGCCTTGCGTCTACCAATAGCCAAATATTGGAAGAGAGACTGTAGTCAGAATCAAAGATTAAAGGACTTGTACTATCCCAGAGGAGAGAAGCAGAGTGTTTGCTATTGTAGTATATTATGAATGTGATCCTGTTGTGTTTTGGTTGAAAGCCTGTTTTTTCTTTCGGCATTCTCAGAAAAAGTACACAGGATTTAAGTAGGCAAACTGGATATTTAGTAGCATTCTGCCTCTACTTCAGCGCTTATAAGAGTAAGATCCATACTGGTTGAATGGATGGAGGAAAATATAGCTTCTCTTGCAAGCAGGCAGGTTAAATTGGTAGTGAAAATGCATATAATCTTGTGCATTATTCAGCCATCCCATAGTGTTAAAAATAGTGTAAGAGCTGAGGATACAGTTCTGCCTGTATACGTTTTGCTTAGTCCCCTTCTAGTGTAAGAACAAATATGTTTTTCAGAAGAGTCTTTAGTTATAATTGACATATAAGGGAGGAAAACAGACATATCTGAATTCAGCAAGGTAAGTTCTCTACCTGTGTATAAATAGCCAGTTGTATAATAGAGGAATGTGTGGAATCCTTTATAGCCATTTCTTCTCTTGCATAAAAAGGATGTTTTTGGGCAGAGTGATAATGTTCCTTTGATGAGTAATCAGATTTCAGCAACATTTCCTTATCTTCATTAATGAAAATCCATCGTGTAACAAAAATGAGTCTGAAAGATTCTGCCCATTTGACAATCCTCTAAGATTAAAGAATAGCATAGAGCATTTTCTGGTTTTTGAGTCTGTTGGGAATAATTGTTGAAATACTGAAAAAAGCATGACTGTACTCTACACTTTGTGAGACCCTTTTCTAAAAAAAAATGCTGCTAAGTTACAAACAGTTGGATATAACCATCTCTTCTGTGTCTCTAGATTTCCTGCTAGATTTATAGTTTTCTTACCTTGAATGTACCCTGAGCTGGGAGATCATATCCTTATTATAAAATAACAGTCTCCTAATTCAGTCATTGTTTTAATTAAACCTTCCCTGAAGAAGTCATTTAATTTGTTTTTTGAACTGAAGTTTCTGCTATGTTTGATTCAAAAGTTCATTGCATGCCTGAGCAAGATCTTAAGAAGTTGGTCTGCTTTGATTTTAACTCTTTGCTTTCTGAGCATAGGCTCAAGCAAGTACACTGTTGTGTAGATCAAGGTTTGAGTTGTAGATCTGTTTGTTGTGTAGAGTTGAACTTCTACACAAGTATACTTTTTTCTGTTGGCTCTAAATGTGTTCAGATACAGTAGAAGCCTGGGGTATTGACATTAGACAAATTTTAGAAAACTACAGAATTAAATGCAGGTTTAGAGGCAGTTTTGGTGGCCCAGTTACAAAAAATATCGAGTATTGTATTAGCTTTTCTTTTGACAAGATTTACGTACAGGGTAACCTGGGATTTCTCATGGAAGACCACAGGATTGGTTTTCACTGCAGGAAAGGGCAACTAGCCCATATTTCTTACCTTGCACTACGGTAATGTCACGTTTTATTCTAGTTGTATAGCATTTGAAATGTATGTCCAGTGCAGGCTATTACTTTGGAGGCCTTGAGTCTTGCTTGAGTTACTTGAAAACACAGAAAATTTTAGTATTAATGAAATTTGTACTGTAATTGCAGTAATGAAAGGATAGTTAGAAATAATAAGGGCTACAGCTTGTACTGGTATGGAGGACAGCAAACCATTACTGTAATTTATTTTAGTTCATGTTTATGGCAGTATGTATGTGAAAACAGCATTCCGATGTATAAACAGTACCTAATTATCTCCTTCCCTTCTTTCAATTCATGGCAATTTTTCCCTTGTTTTGACATCAGAAGCTGTAACATTGTATATTAAACAAACAAGTGCTTTCAACAACCTAGCACTGGTTTTATCAGCCTGATGCTATACTTCACACAGATGTGCAATCACTGTGGGGTATTGCCTACTATACATAAATAAAATTCTTAATATACAGTGTGGTTATTTCCTTGGAGAATCTGTTTTATGAATCCATTAATGTGAGTGGTATTATTTTCTTTTGAGCTTTAGTAAATTCTCATTGTTTGAAGAGTTGGTGCCCTCCTTGGAAGTGATTCTGCTTATACCAGATGCAGCTAGCATTAATCTTAATCCTCTACCTAGCTTTCATGGCATTCCTTAAGCCACCTTGGACTCCTACATACTAAACTAGCTTTCTCCAGTCTAGAACATTCCAGATGTGTTGGAGCTACAACTCCAGGTTATGCAGCCAAGGTGGCCTCATATAACTTGTATTTATATTATTATTGATAATATTATTTTAATTAATAGGGCTTTAGGCCTCAAAAGATTTAGGTTAGAGTCCTGTCTCAGACAGGAAAGGCCAAATAGTTAACATCCTTTCCCTTGTACTTTTCAGTTCCATCATGAATTTTTCAGGATAAAGGTTTAGCTAAAGCTATTTGCAAATGCTAATCAGCCAGAAATTCTCCTATAACTTTTACAATGCTTCTTGCTTTTGCAACCATCTTTGCTATGGCAGACACAGGATCAGTCAGGTGCCAGGTTACTTCAAGTCATATAATCCACTTATTACAAATCATGCCTTTTATATTTAAGATACTTTGGCTGAAATAGTTAGCTGCTAAGACAGATATCATTATTTGGATAATGATCCCTGCATCCTTCTAGTTCAAATATAACTGATTATTTTTAGACCAGTTTGAATTTGTTACAGTGCTATGTACAGTATTCAGAACTAGCTACAACTATCAGAAAAGCCTTTGGCCCTTATTGTAAGACTCTATCAGTGAAGGGATATGTATTCACAAAACACTAGTAATATTGCAGGGGGGTGAGGGGCATTTTAACAATTAAAAGGATCGACTTCATTGAGTTTGTAAAGCACCTACATTTTTCTAAGCACTGTTATTGACAGTTCCAGCTTGCTGGTTTACACTCTAGGAGAGCCCTGTAGTATAATAAATGGTTAAGGTGTGAACCAGGATTGGGTGGCAAGGACCCAGGTTCATATCCATTCTCACCATGGAAGCCCACTGGATTATTTTGGGCCAGTAATTACTTCTCAGCCCAATCCAGACTTGTAGAGAAAAACTGGGGTACTATTTATACCACATTCAGCTCTTAAGGATAATACAGGTTCTAAATCTAGAAAATAA